CCCCAAAGGCCAGTTTCCTTGTGATGACACTGTTTTTGAACTGTGTTGTCTACTGATGGAGGAAAATGGATGGGATGTTCCAGCAGATCCATTTGCTGCAGCTGATCTGTACATCTTGTTAAGAGAGGAAATACTGCAAACTCTTTGATAAATGGTACAAATCCAATTTCTTCTAAATACAAAGGAAAATATGTAGTTTACCCCAATCATATAATTTGATTAAACTACTGAACTAATGGTTTATGTGGTATATTTTTAAAATCTGTGGTCTATTTTTCCTCACAGGTATTGACTCTCCTGTTGTTTTTCCTCACCCTTCTAACCATGTTTTGGATCACAGAAGACATCCAGACAGCGACTACAGGTTAATCCTCTGTGACTGCAGTTGTTGTCTGAGTTTAAAGTCAGAATTCTGAGAATAAAGTCAGAATTTAAAAAAAAAATGTATGCAGTGGCCCTACTACTCTTCCGTATTTTCTAGATAGATATATACAAAAGTACATATATGGGTATTGCACTGAGAGTTGTCACAGTTGATGGCTCAGGGGAGAAACTGGTTGTTTTGGTGCACAGTGACCTGCAGCGCCATCCGGAGGGCAGGAGTTCAAACAGTTTGTGTCCAGGGTGTGAGGGGAAAACCAATATGCATTCATCATAATTATAAACCTATATATCATCCTGACAGGGTTCATTATGCATAATAAAATACTTTTACTTTTGGTGCTTTTGCACTCTTACTTAAGTAAAATGTGAATGTAGGAGAGTATTTCTGCACTGCGGTATTGCTACGTTTACTTAAGGATCTGAACAGGCCTGCTTCTTAAACCTCTGGCCGCAAGAAATGTTAACAGGCGTTTTTTAAAACTATTTCTTGACATTTGACAAAATGAGTAATCACTGATTTTAGAACAAACAACAGATGAAGTGAAAGTGAAAAAAGTTAGTTGGAGCCTTAAACGTATTAAAGATCAGCATCGCACCAATTTGTAATCTTTGTTCATTTTTGTTTGTTTCTTCCTAGAAACACTCGGAACCACTGCTCTTGACAATCGGATGACTGTACTCTTACAGCGCACTTCAGTGTGTGATTTATGTCAGTGCTTTTCAACCTTGGTACACTTTTTTTCTGTGAAAAAAATCACAAGGCACACCACCAACCAAAAATATTAAAAAAAATGACACTCTGTAGCCTAATCCAATATATATAATGACAATATAGTCTTTCAATTTATTTATACTCACTCAGTGTGAAATCTGGGCCTGTTTGGATGAACACAGAGCTGAAGAAGGACACACACGAAGCTCTTCATCAACAGCTCTCAGTCTCTCTCTGTCTTTAGTTTTTATAGCAGTCAGGCTTGAAAAGCTCACCTCACACAGATATGTCGTGGAAAATGGGAGCAATGTCAAAATAGCTTTGTTTGACAGAATGGGGAACTCCTTGGCAGCAGTTAGCCAAAAACTGTCCAAAGGTAGATCACCAAAGCTTAGCTTTAAACCATGATTCTGTCTCAGTTCAGTTAGTTCCTCCTGCTCCTGCAGTCGTGTCCTTTCCAAAAGCTGTTGATGAGCTATATGGATCCCGAACCCAGTCAAGGCATTCAGTGGAAGCTGAGGAGAAATAAAAGCACATCTTCTCCTCAAGAATTTTCAGATGTTCACCTATTATCTTGCACAATGTAGCAGTGTTGACATCTTGCCATTTCTTGGTGAGTGGGAACATTTCAAGGTTGGCAGTTTCCACATGTTGTTGCCAGAGGTGCACTATTGAGCGGAATCCATTTATTTTATCTGTACTTGTAAGCAGGTTTTCATTTCGACCCTGCATTCGTGTGTTAAGTTCATTCAGATGATTAAAAATATCTGCCAGGTATGCCAGCCTTGCACACCACTCATCACTTGCAAGCAGCTTTGCGTAATCGGACCCCT